AAAGACGGGCCTAATTGAGAGTACTCTTAACTGACGAGCATATATGCGTAGGTACATGGATGTAAAGAAGGCGAGATATGTGTGTCAGGATCGTGCCAAATGGAAGTCCATATTCTCTGCCTACCCCTCGACGTGATAGGCGTGAGTTTTTACGTAATTTTTTGTTTCAGTTTTATTATATCCTCCAATCAGCAGCAGTGTACTAATTTTTGTGTTACAGTTTAAGCTGTATGGAAGCGTAGTTCTAAGTAAAAAAGTTCCATGTTGTGAGGCCTTTCACCCCTTGTTGGGGTGATAACGTATCTATTACATAATCTTTTATAAAATAACTCTTTGTTGTAATGTTGGTCGCAAGCGTTTATGATTCACGGGCTTCACCAAACTTCATAGGTTCATGGGTTCATGGGTTCAACTTTAGATTTGGTGGATGGTTAGTTTCACTGTTATAATTTTTTTTTTTGGCAAATGTTTCGTAATTTTGCCAGATAGTTCACTCATTTTCTCGATAGCTCTGACGAAAACGTCACAAGATTCATATAACACTGCTTGACGCTAACGTGTGAAGTTGCTTTTTTTGTGTCAGATCAAATCGAAAACTAATTCACTCAGTTTTAGTACTGTAAGATAATAACAATGGACCGAAATTCGAAACTGCATGTAGATCTAAGCTAATTGATTTTTTACTGTACCTGTTTGTCGTCAAAAATATGTAACATATTATGAGCATTCAATAATTATCGCCAATACAAAGTCTCCGTCTAGAACATATGCCACCCTTATAGATTATTCATAGGAGAATATATGTCATAGTCGTCGCAATTTGTGGGCGTGTTGGCAACCAAAGTTTTTATTATTTTAAGTAGTTATAAGGAAGATGCTGCCTACAATAAGATGAGCAACTCCTTCCTGCTATATTTCCTGATCGTATTTCATTTCCCTCTGTCCCGTCTTTCGATAGCGACGGAAGTATTTTTGTGGTGGATTCTCATACGTTGCCACGTCAAGGTGATTTATGTGCATTCTTATAACACTGCTTGACGCTAACGTGTGAAGTTGCTTTTTTTGTGTCAGACCAAATCGAAAACTAATTCACTCAGTTTTAGTACTATAAGATACTAACAATGGACCGAAATTCGAAACTGCATGTAGATCTAAGCTAATTGATGTTTTACTGTACCTGTTTGTCGTCAAAAATATGTAACATATTATGAGCATTCAATAATTATCGCCAATACAAAGTCTCCGTCTAGAACATATGCCACCCTTATAGATTATTCATAGGAGAATATATGTCATAGTCGTCGCAATTTGTGGGCGTGTTGGCAACCAAATTTTTTTTATTTTAAGTAGTTATAAGGAAGATGCTGCCTACAATAAGATGAGCAACTCCTTCCTGCTATATTTCCTGATCGTATTTCATTTCCCTCTGTCCCGTCTTTCGATAGCGACGGAAGTATTTTTGTGGTGGATTCTCATACGTTGCCACGTCAAGGTGATTTATGTGCATTATATTTAAAAAAATTGATTATTTTTATTTCGTACTTTTTAGATAAATCTGAATTTACGTTCGTAAAACAGTGGTTTGCAGCAGAAGCTTAACTATATTTAAAGTTGTGTTCAAACAGTTGGTGAAATTTAGTTTAGTCTAACTTTAAAAAAATTGTCGGTAGCGTTGAAAAAGGTTAGCATAAGTTGGAGATTGCGAGTGATATAACACTTAACTGGCCCCCTAATGAGGCTGCTTTTGATCTCCACTATTCTAAGCAGTAGACAGATAAATCTCACCAAGTGTGCTGCCTTCAGCATCTAATTGCTCTGAAATATAATCAAGTTCCTAACTACATTAGCAAGAAAAAATCTGTCATATCGCTCACGTTTGCAGCTTAATTTTCCCTTGCCTTCATTACACAGAACAAAGAGCAGGAACCATACAAAAGTTCGTCTGACAAGATCACCTACGTGGCTAAGCATTCCGTTTCGACTTTGATCATTATCAGATTGTGGGCTCAATCTTAAATCTAGGCTGATACGTATTCAAAAAGGCATGTTCCATGATACATATTAGCAATAAAGCCATTAAAAGAAAAAGGTTACAACCTATAAACGTCGAAACACACAGCTATTTACAGTTCGAATAAGCTAGTGAAGCAAAACGTTAATATCTTAGGAAAAGTCGAATTATAAAAATCTTATTTTAGTAAAATGTTGTATTATATCGATGAAAAAACTTGCTCTGTTTATTCAATAACTATAGAATGATGCAACAAAGCTTTTGTCTTAATTTGAATTAATCGGGACGCAAAAAATAATGTTACACCGCAAACTACCGGAAACTATGAGATCTATTATTTAATAGGATAATACAAGTGTTTGTAAATTAATAGTAGAATAAAAATTTCACCGTGACACTTAAATATTTTATATTTTTAAACAACAAAATAATTTATTTTGTCTGAAGTGTTCGGTGACGCTAAGGTTCCCCACGGAGAAAATTTAATAAAGTAAAATTTACGGTGCAATCAACTGCCAGGCACGACTTATTTTTACACAAACTCGACAATATTGTAGAAGTTTCAAATCCCCGAGTAATAAAATTACAGTTTCTGTATAAAGGCCATAAACATCAAATTAATAATGAAATCCATAAACTAATTAACAAATTTTCTACGAGAGACATAGATTTAATGGGATATTAGAGATTTGTAAAATTGAGTATTGTTATGATTTCTTAAATTTACGCAAAATTTACTTTTAATTTACTTTTAATTGCTTTTAATAATAAAAATAAATTAAAGTAATTAAACGCGATAAAATCCGAAAATAACAGTTTTATTCAATTGAGTATTGTTTTTAAATTTGACAAATGAGTATTGTTTCAGGTTGTGTTAACAATTTTTAATACGATTGCCGAATTCTTCTGATGTGCCTTAAAAATATTTTCAAAAATTAACTTAAAAATCCAAAAAAATAATCAAAAATGAGATTTTATGGGATACGATATATATACGTGATAGAGCCATGCTGCAGAAATATATTAGTAGTATAGTTGTAGCACGATTGGGTCGGCTCGACCGGGGAAGAAACCACGCTCTCACAGAATACCAGCGTCAAATAATAGCTTAATGCTGCTGTGTTTCGTATGGTGAGTGTAGAGAACCGGAGAAACTCTTTACTGGAAACAAGGTATTCCATCTTAGTCCTCACGCATTTGCATTTTGATTTTTAATCGAGGATAGATGTAGAAGTCTATGGGCCGCAGTAACAAATAACTAAAGATGTCACTATTATGCATAAAGTGTAAAGATTTAATAAAAACACGACATTATCTAGCGTGTAGCAATTGCAAAAACAAATATCACATTGAATGCACTGATATTACAGAAAAATATTTCACCTTGTGACAAATGGGGCTGATGAGGGCAGATGGCGCTGGCACACAAGTAACATCGTCTTGCTTAAATATTTAATTTAATAATAGTATCAGTGACCTATTTTGTGTAATATTGCTAACATTCAGTGGCTTTAGCTACTATATAACAGTGATAGTGTTATCCATGTGTATTATTGTGTCAGAACGAAAGATTTTAAGATTTCTAAATACGTTGTGTTTGAGTGTATTATGACAAAATACTAGTTTTACCTTTAATATTAAAGTTCAAAAGACGGTGAACATAGTGAAATTAAGCTAAACTATACTATTAGTAATTATCTTCAGTACTTTAAATACTTAGTAACCTTAATACTTAATCTTGTGACGGTTATATTTATAGTACCCGGTTGACCGAGCTTTGCTCGGTATTTTTCGCTCGGTTTTTTTTTAATTCGTGGTTTTGGAAATTATATTTAGATAAAAATTACATACTGATGAAATATGAAGAATATTTTTTGATCTTAGCGACATAATAGAAAAAACCGAACCGGTTATTTGAATAAAAAATCATGAGTGCAATTAGTTTAATTTAAATTTTCGTGTTTAAAAAATACTAAAAAAAGGGCTCGAAAAAATAGATTTTCTCAAAAAAGAAAGGAACTTGAAAAAAAAAATAAAAAAAGTTGGCCGGTCGGTCTGGACTCGAACCAGGGTATTACTTTTATATTATATTTTATATTTATTTTATATATATTTATTTATATATTTTTTATATTATATATTATATTAATTAAGCTATTTATAATTATTAGTAGACTGTCGAAATTTACCTTCTTATTCTAACGATATTGTAGCAGTTTTTCATTGCCTAAAAACACGGGCAAAAGACATTTTCTAAAAATAAATCCTAGCTAGATCGATTTATTGCCCCCGAAACTCCCCTGGACACAAATATATATATATATATATATATATATATATATATATATATATATATATATATATATATATATACAAGAATTGCTCGTTTAAAGGTATAGGATACGTTTAAACGAGCAGTACTCAGTATAATTTAAAATTTACTCATATCTCATAAGGAATTAAAGATCTGTGTAACGGCGCCATATATAAGTAAATCATAGAACCACAATAATCAATATTTTTCACCCGCTTAAATGAATTACCTTACTACTCGAGTTTACCCTTGTAAAGAGAAAGATGGCGCCTTCAACTATGAATAAAGTCCTTTGTGTTGGATGTTCACAAGAAATTATTAGCAGGCAGTTTATAAAGTGTTATGTTTGCACCAAGCATTATGACCTCCTGTGTGCAAATGTATGTGAATAACGATTCCATAATATCATGACTACAGAACATAAACGAAAATGGAAATTTCATGAATGTTTAAGCAGGGAACCGAAGTCTGATAACACAAACACGCCTATTAAGCAGGATTTAATGGATTCCAGCTGTACGAATGTCACCTTACGTGGTCGTGCCAATAAACCGAGTCCATCGGTTCCAACTGCACATACCTCAACTACATCAGATATAGACGATCGGGACCAAGAGTTGCTGTGTAATGACATTGAGATCTCGGGAATACCAGAGGAAAAAACGAACGATCCGTTCATCTGGTACTGGCAGTAGCTACTAAGTTGGGAGTCACAGTCAAGATATCTCGTGAATGCGAAGCGTGTAGGGCCCATTCGGCGCGCACTGGATCAAAATGGTAGTGTACGGCCCCGTCCCTTAGTGGTGCGGCTAGCGCGCCGCGCGCACCGGGATAGTCTGCTGGCGGCGGCTCGCGGACTCGATTCTGCCGTATCTCCATTCCATATCAATGAAAGATTGACCAAATTTAACCGAAAATTGTTTTACAAGGCACGTGTAAAATGCAAGCGGGCCCAGTGGAAGTACACGTGGACTCGGGAAGGGAAAATTTTTTGTGCGTAAAGATAACGGCGAACCACTATATCGCTTACGTACAGGGCACGATTTCATTAAAGTTTTTGGGCATTGAGAACGTTGGTTCATGTAATTAATTTTGATCTAAATAATGACACTGATATTTTCTTAAGCGAATTTCATTTTCAAATAAAATACCTACTTTGGTTTCGTTTTCGTATTAATAGTTTATATTTTCAAATATTTTATATAATATATCATTTACGTTATTTACGTCACGACAAGGTGCTTAGATAGAGATATCGTCCGCAAACATAACACATGAGTTAACCATAGTTTCACTGAGATTGTTAATATATATTAAAAATAATAAACATCCCAATACACTACTTTGGGGTATTGAAGCATTTACAATTATTTTATTTGATCTCACTTTTACTATTTAATTATTATCAAAGTATTCTATTTCTACATATTGTTCTCTATCTTGTAAGTATGATTTGAACCATTCTAAACTAATCCCACGAACACCTATACTATTTAATTTATTAAGTAATATATTATATTGTAACTTATCGTATTGTTACGCGCTACAATCAACGATACACTAGCGCCATCTAGTGTCAGGAACGAGAGCGAGGGGAGCATTGAGAAAATGACATCACAAATCACTCAACTGACAGCGCCTAGTCGAAACTCGAACGCTCGGTACCGCGTGTTTACTTGAACATTCTGGATATTTCTTTGCTAATTTAAATATATAGGCGCTGCAAGATGCGAGAGAGGCAGTGTTGATTTGGGCGAAACAAGCGAAGCTTCGGAGTGGAATTAAGTGAATTAGTGTGTTTAAATTATTGGTGTTTTAACTTTAATTGTGTAAAGTAAATTAAAGTGTTAATTTAGGTAATTTTATCGGCAATTTTTATTGTCACGAACCTCAAGCTCGTAACAATTGGTGTCAGAAGTGGGATAAAATCATGCCGATTTTACCTAAGGAGGAAACGGAGGGTGTCCGTACCCGAAGTCAACGCCAGCAGGAGACGGACCAACGAAGATTTGGTGGTGCAACGCCGCAGACGACGGAGGGCCAGCCACCGGCTGCAGGCCCGTCGGTAGCTCCTACATCTGCAGCACCTGACTTAGGTGCTCTGATGGTGATGCTGCAGGAGCAGGCTCGCCGACAGGAGGAGCAGGCTCGCCGACAGGAGGAGCAGGCCCGTCAGTTGAAAGAGCAGCTGCAAAGCGGACAAGAGGAACAGGCCCGCCGGCAGGAGGAACAGGCCCGCTGGCAGGAGGAACAGGCCCGTCGTTTAGAAGAGCAACTCCAACGCGATAAGGAAGAGCAGATGCTCCTCATGAAGGACCTTCACGCTATCTTCGGAAAAGAGATACGGGAGGTGAAGGATAAGGTTGCTCAACATGACAACCGCCTGTCGGAGGCCGAAACCCGAATCGACCAAGTAAACAATCGGGTTGACAACGTAATGGCTGACGTGAAGAAAACGCTGGACGACCTCAAACTTGGGGATGGAACAACAGCTCCCGTAGTAGCTACAACACCTTCGCTACGTGGATTCAAAGTGCCGCCGTTCGACGGTACCTCTTCCTGGTCAGCCTACAAGATCCAGTTCGAGGCTGTTATGAAGGCGAACGGCTGGAATAAAAGTCAGGCCATGACTGCTGTCACACTAGGCCTGCGCGACCAGGCCTTAACAGTTCTGGAAGCTCTCGGCGAGGAAGTGACTTATGAGCAACTCCTTGAGGCATTGGAGGCGAGGTATGGCGACGCTCACCTGGAACACGTCTTTCGTGCGCAGCTTAAGGATCGCGTGCAGCGCATCAACGAAAACCTGCAGCAGTGGGCTCTAGAAGTGGAGAAGCTGGTGCGAAAAGCATACCGGTCTGTACCTGCGCTCATTGAAGGGAACCTGGTGCAGATATTCATCGACGGCATCCGCGACCTGGAAGTCAGAGCTGCTGTGAGGCTCGGGCACCACGAGACGCTTAAAGACGCCTTGGCCCATGCACTGGAAGTGGAAGCCGTGCGGCAGGATCATCGTTCCCATCGCGTCAGGGAGGTTGCAGCAGCTACAGTTCGCGACCGCAACAAAGGATACAGCCCAAGGTGCTATGGCTGTGGGGAAAAGGGCCATCTTCGAATCAGCTGCCCTAAGCGAACCGTGGAAAGGAGAGTTGATCGATCTCGAGAGGGTAGTGCAGCTAACGACACTGCCTGGCGGCGACAGGATCATCGTTCACCTCACGCTAGGGGAGGTTACAGCAGTTACGGTTCGTGACCACAATAAAAGATACAGCCCTAGGTGCTATGGCTGTGGGGAAAGGGGCCATCTTCGGTCCAGCTGCCCTGAGCACACCCTACGAAGGGAAGGTGAACGGTCTCAGAAAGGAAGTGCGGCTAACAACACCGCCCAGCAGCAGCAGGAATACGACTTTACTATCAGACACTGCAGCGGGAAATCTCACGACAACGCAGATGCATTGTCAAGAAGACCTTGTCCTGAAGATTGCAACCATTGTAGTAGGCAAGAGAGTAAGGAGGTGGTATCCGTGAGGATGCTCAGGACAGACCACCTCAGCAACGGGTGGAAGGACAACCTACGACATGCACAGCAGGAAGATCCGGACATCAAGCCGATTCTGGGATGGATGAAGGCCCGTGCTACCAAGCCTAAGTGGAGGGACGTCTCAGCGATGAGTTCAACCACGAAAAGCTATTGGGCCCAATGGGACAGCTTGCTGATTCAGGATGGAGTCCTGTGCCGTAAATGGGACAATGGTCGAAGAGACAGCTGTCGTTTGCAAATGGTTGTCCCTAAAGCTAAAGTGCCGAATGTTCTACAGTTGTGCCATAATGGTCGTTCAAGAGTCCATCTGGGAGTTAAACGAACTCTACTGAAGGTCCGAGAACAGTTTTACTGGGTCCATTATCGTGACGATGTCGAGGATTGGTGTCGTACATGTACAAGTTGTGCGGCCGAGCGGGGACCTCGGACACGTAGTAGAGGAGCACCGAAATTGTACAATGTTGGTGCACCACGGGATAGGACAGCCCTTGACATTGCGGAGCCGTTGCAGAAAGGCGCAAGAGGGACTCCTAAGATCGTCCATGTGAATCGCTTGGCACGTTATTATGGGGCCGATAATGCTCGGGACGAGCATGTCTTAGGAGGGGGGCAGTGTTACGCGCTACAATCAACGATACACTAGCGCCATCTAGTGTCAGGAACGAGAGCGAGGGGAGCATTGAGAAAATGACATCACAAATCACTCAACTGACAGCGCCTAGTCGAAACTCGAACGCTCGGTACCTTCCGCGTGTTTACTTGAACATTCTGGATATTTCTTTGCTAATTTAAATATATAGGCGCTGCAAGATGCGAGAGAGGCAGTGTTGATTTGGGCGAAACAAGCGAAGCTTCGGAGTGGAATTAAGTGAATTAGTGTGTTTAAATTATTGGTGTTTTAACTTTAATTGTGTAAAGTAAATTAAAGTGTTAATTTAGGTAATTTTATCGGCAATTTTTATTGTCACGAACCTCAAGCTCGTAACAGTATGCTTTGGTCATATCTAAGAGTATTCCTATTGCATATTCCTTATTGTTTAATATCTTTAGAATATCTTGATTATATTTATATACTGCTAGTATGGTAGATCGATTTTTACGGAAACTGTTCTGACATTCAATAAAGATTTTATATTTTTCGCAGAAATTATACACACGTTCGAACATTGCTTTTTCAAAAAATTTTTAAGATTGTAGGGAGTAAAGCTATGGGGCGATAATTATCGATATCGGTTTTTGAATTTTTCTTATGGATGGGTATTATTAATTCCTTTTTAAACACGTCTGGGAAAATGACTTCTGTGAGAGATTGGTTGGTTAGTTCACAAAGTGATAGAGCTAACGCATCTGCGCAATGTTTTATAAGTTACAGCCTATATACGTCCCACTGCTGGCCACAGACCTCCCCTCATTTCTGAGAGGGTTTTAGGCCAGGCAACATTTAACCCTTGTTTTAAAACCGAGGCATAAAAAGAACTAGCTAAATGGTAGTGTGTGAACTGTAAACTCCGCCATTTGACTACTGTGTTGGACGATTCTTAGCATTTTTTTAAATGGGTGACAAACGAGCACTCAGTCCAGCTGATGGTAAATGGAAGCTGTGGCCCATAGACATCTACATTTTTATTCCATTAAGAATCTAAACGCAGATGCGTTATCACCCCTAAGGACTAAAATGGAATACTTCGTTTCCAATAAAAGGAGTCTCCACATTGATTATAACTACTTTTATGGATTTTATCGCGTTTATTTTTAATTTTTAATTTTAATTATTTTTATTTTTAATTCCCGACGTTTCGGGTGATTTTCATCACCCATGATCACGGGGGACTGAGGTGACTGACGTCCCGATGTCATTGTTAAACCCGGAGTACCTTCAGATTTTTTAATTATTGTTTATGGTCCGATCTATGCAAAATAAACTGACTTATGTCCTGAGGTCTTGCAGTGGTGTGATTGGGTATAATTTTAATTTTATTGATTATAGGGTGGGACCCTATAATCAATAAAATTAAAACTATACCGCAGGTGGTAGTATTCAGCCTCCTTCTCTATTGAAATTAGGATGTTTTTTAATTTCAATAGCCACACGTATCATCCTTGGTCTCGGTGTTCTTTCGAGGAATCGGTGTTCTTTCGCAAGGATTTGTGGTCTATCAAATCTGATGTAATGGTTGGGGCCGTCTAGGATATGATTGCAGCTGCAGTTCATGATCCCATCTCTGGGCTGGGGCTCCCCAGTGCCAGCTCCTTCCACTTGGCCGCATCCAGCGCAGAACGGTTCGAATCGTCGACGACCGAGTGCTTTCCGATCGGCTCGATTCACTGGCGCTACGAAGAG